ATTCATTCACTGTCGTTGTTTCCACTGCTTTGAAAGCAATCCATTGCGCTCTTGTGAAACATATTACCCCTAGGCTTTTTGTTTTTGTGGAATCTCTGTCAGAAAACTTTTGATTTAACTCTATGCATATCTCTGTGGCTGTATTCTGATTAATGAGAAGTTGCTGGTAAACATGTGAAAAACCTTCAGCACTTCTTCCTGAGTCAGGCAGTGAGCAGCAGGAAAATCAATGCTGACCCCTTCAGTCCTGTATGTATTTTAGCATGTGTTCTCTAGTAATTAGTGCACAGCACTGCATAATCAGTGAAACCACTTAATAATTGAACTCAAAGAGTTTCTTTCTATGCACCATCAAACATGAACAGTTAATTTAGCCACATCGGATCTTGTCAAATTATCTTGAAAAAGCAAGACACCCCTTTACACTTACAGGGAATGTCAGCATTAGCTGAAGCTGTAGAGTCTGGGCATCCATCGAGATGAGCATGTAAAATATATTTGGAGACAGTTATGGTCAAGCTTTTACACGAATGTCGTGTTAATTTGGGGCTTTAAATAATTTTTTTGAACTGTTCTTTTTAGTGATTTTAAGAAAACAAAAGCTCGGTGCACTAGATTGAATTTTTTGGGATTTTCTCTAATCTGCACAGGGTCAAAAGTATATATACAGATATATACACAAACACCCCCATAATATTTGGTTACACATCAAGTTGCACAGAGATCACATGCTTTTGGCGCCCATCAACAAGCTTCTGGCATATTTCTTTATATGCCAGAAGTCTCACCTTTATTCTTTCAAACATACCTCTTGTCATTGTCTCCAAATATCTTAATTTTTGTTTTGTTTGATAAAATTCTTCCCTAGATGATATTTGGCTTGTCCATGAGGGCAGCTGCAAATTTTAGTCGACTTTGGAGCAGGGCTTCTTTCTCAATCGGCACACTCTCTGTCCATGTTGATGTAAAACTCACTCCACTGTGGACAGTGATGCTGGAGTTTCCAGGTCATGGCAGGCTAAGCGTTGGTGGTTCCTGGGCTATTCTTTAATGGTCTAATCGATTTTCCTTTTAACCCTGAGAAAATCCAAAAGAAATTTAAACTCGTGCAATTCTTGTTTTTTGTTTTGTTTTGTATTTTTTTCTTTTAAGTCATTAAAGTTATATGTTGTACAATCATTACCATGGCATTCACTCCCGTGATGAATGTATTCAAACATCTGATCACAACTATTACCTTTAACTTACATGCAGTGTATATTGCTGAAATGCTATAACAATAATGCTAAGATTATTAGACTGATCTGTGGACATTCACTTTAAAATCTATTGCACTTTATTTGATTTCATTTTTATTCCTAAGTGCCTGTGCTATGGCCTATTTGTTAACTATACGCATGTGTTTAGATTTAAGAGGTACAATTCACAAGCCAGATTCAATATTCCATATTCCAGAAAATCCGTGCATCATGTTAGAATAGAATAGAATAGAATAGAATAGAATTCAACTTTATTGTCATTGCACATGCACATGCACAGGGCAACGAAATGCAGTTTGCATCCATCCAGAAGTGCTTTAGCCATGATATAGATATATTACAATATATATTAGCAATAATATAGATATGTAAGTATATTACAGAAATGGGTCATGTTGCATCATGTTTTGAAAGTGCAGGGAATTTGTATAAAGAGCTGTTGTAGAAATATTGCTTTAACACATCTAAGATAATAATAATAACAACAATAAATGAATTTATTATTAATATAAATTGTTACATAACGCGAATCCATAAAGCAGGAAATGGAAAGTTTGATGCTTAAAATGTGGTCAGTGTGTGTCTGGTCATCGTAGTTTCTTATTTTTATTTTTACCCTATGGTATTTCTTTTTCTCTCTGCGTTATAGTACAGAGAGGAACTGGAAACTTGTAAAAAATTACTCGATAGTATAAAAAATTCTCACGCTGCTAAGTAGTTTGCGCATGCGTACTTGAATGTCACTTATATTATAATAATAAGTGCTAAGAACTTTTAAAATGCGGATATTTTACACGAGTCATCCAAGCAGTGATAAATGTCTCGATAGGTGCCCGGCTTCGAGTACAATTTTCTTAAACATTTAATTAAAAACGTCCAGCGCGGCTCAAGCGAAACCGGAAGTTGTCGGGGGTGAATTTTCTCGACTCGGCAGAGATGACCCACATCAGCAGCATCAGCTTCTTCCAGAAGTTTCCTCGCAAGGTTTCGAGTGCGGCATACTGACACACTTACGCAAACGCGGACGGGCTAGGTGACATTTTCGTCCTCGCCAGTGGGTCAAAGCTGAAAGTTGCTGTCGGGGGCTGTGACACTTTCTGGAGGACCACCCCGACGGCGATCTGAACTACTGCCCGCTGCAGGGACAGCTGCGGCGGCGGGGTGAGACAGTGGATCCCGGTAATCTGTGCTTCGTTTTACACGAGGCATGCTGGGTGTTTTGTCGACGTCAAACCGAAGCTTCGACAAAAGCAATTGAAAGAAGTGCCGACCGGCCGGTGTGATGGGTAAAGATTATTACAAAGTGCTGGGTATAGCCAGGGGAGCATCTGAAGATGAGATAAAAAAGGCGTACAGAAAACAGGCTCTGCGCTATCACCCCGACAAGAATAAGTCTCCTGGAGCTGAAGACAAATTCAAGGAGATCGCTGAAGCCTATGACGTCCTCAGTGATGCCAAGAAAAAGGACATTTACGATCGTTTTGGAGAAGAAGGTAACCGAACTCCTTCCCCCGGGTTGCACGAAGTTTTGCAGCCTTTGCATTTACCGAGTTTAATCCTCTGCAAATAATGCAAAGCAAAACGTGCATTTTCTTACTCTCTCAATCTAATCGATGTACACATGCATCCTCCTCAGTGCGGTTTCTGGGGTCTTTCTGCAGCAGTTATCTGACAACAGTTGTGTGTACAATAGGGTGTAGCTGGAGAACCTGCTGGAAACAGCAAGTTCTTGCCCGTCCTGTCAGTGTGCCTCTCTCTTGTTATTATTGTGGCTTTGAAAAATGGCACAGATTTGTACCTCCAGGCTTTGGTGTCCTTGTCCACACCCTCATGGACAGGGAGGGACAGATATCAAACTTTGAGATGTCAGGAAGCAGAAAAATATTTTAGCTTCTGAGCATTTACTTCTTGCAAGTAGTAAATATTTTGTGTCAGTTTGTTTGTTTGTTTGCAATCTTTAGACATTGATTCAAATCATAGGGGTGAATATAGGGTGAATGTAGGTCAGTGTGTTATAAGTGTTAAAGCGGTAATGCCGATATTATTCAACAGATGAGCACCAATAAGCTGATCAAAAAGATCAACAATCAGGTGGCTGTCAGCTGATGTCATCTGATAACTACCTTGTCATTAGCAGTGATCAGTGTTTGTCTGTTGTGTTAAGACAACTATGTGTTGACTTAGTGCCCAGTGATGGTGCAGTGAAAACTCTTTTTTTTTGCAGTCAATTTTTATATAAAGAATGCTTAGTTTCCCAGACATCAAAGGGTAAATAAATAACAGTAAAAACTAAACAAACATGCTATTTCAAACATTGATATGACAGTGATATTTCCCGTTCTTTTTTTTAAATACTTGGCGATGTCGTCTTCTTCAACAGGATTAAAGGGTTCAGCTGACACTGGAGGCAGAGGACATGGCGGTCAAAGCTGCAACTACAGCTTCCACGGGGACCCTCACGCAATCTTCGCTGAGTTCTTCGGTGGCCGCAGCCCATTCGATCACTTCTTCTTCCAGGACGGGGAAGACGACGTGGACATCAACAACCCTTTCGCAACGTTTGGCATGCCAGGAATGGGCGGCATGGGTGGGTTTCACCGGCCTTTCAAAACCCACCCGGCAGGAGTTCACCGAGCGCACGAGAAGAAGAAGGACCCGCCTGTGGTGCACGAGCTGAAGGTGAGCTTGGAAGAGGTGTTCTCGGGCTGCACGAAAAAGATGAAGATTTCTCGCAAGAGGCTCAATCCGGACGGCTGCACCATGCGCAGCGAAGATAAGATTTTAACGGTGGACATTAAGCGTGGCTGGAAGGAGGGGACGAAAATCACCTTTCCCAGGGAGGGGGATGAGACTCCCACCAACATTCCTGCAGATGTGGTGTTTGTGGTCAAAGACAAACCTCACCCGGTGTTCAGAAGAGAGGGTTCAGATATTGTTTATCCTGCAAAAATATCTCTTAGAGAGGTAAGATAATCATTCCAACATTAATCATGCTAGTTTATCTTTTTTAAAGATGCTTATAATCAAAACTCGGCCAAGCACTTGGATGTTTGCTTATCAGTCCTTTTGTCTCCAGGCATTGTGTGGCTGCACGGTCAAAGCTCCCACACTGGACGGCCGGACCATCACTGTTACCTCTAGAGACATTGTCAAACCCGGAACGAAAAAGCGAATAAGCGGCGAGGGGCTGCCGCTGTCCAAGTTCCCGGAGAAGAGAGGTGACATGATCCTGGACTTCACTGTTAAATTCCCAGACAAACTGGCCCAAAACACACGCGATACACTCGAGCAGATTCTTCCGCTGTGACATGTTATGACTCCAAATCCTCAAAAAGTTAGCATTTCCAGCGGCACTGTGCTGTGTACTACCTGGACTTTTGAGGGCAGATTTGGGTTCAGTGGGGTTTAATTTTACTTCCTGAACAACAAATCCGTATCCTTAACCCAGAATCCAGCTTGTTATTTATTTATTTTTTGGCTTTGAGTGAAGGAGACAAAGGCAGAAAGACAAACAGGTGTTCTTTAAATGTTCAGTGAATTGCAGCACTGGGAAACTTATTTTAGTAACTGAGGATTTGATAACATAGCAGATCTTTGTGCGAGTGCTTTAGGTAACACACAGCCAGCTGCTTAACAATACCTCCCTGATGCAGGTGCACTGATGCATGAATGTGGCTAAAACTTCATTACTCATAGGACATGATTTGGGTTTCCATTAAGTAAAATTGAGGCTTAGATATTGTGTGGGTCTCGAAAGGTGAAACCTTTTGAGATATCTGTAGCAGTATTGGTCTTACTAGGAGTTTTGGCTTAAATAGAGTTTTCTTTTTCATTGATAAATAAAATTCTGTGTTTTACTTGTTGTTTACACTAAGCTATAATGTAAAGCTTTGTGAAAAATACACCTAAAGTGTTCTCAAGGCTGAAAACAGTAGAGCCCTAATAGGACTGATGCTCAGTACGACTCTTATGGAGTGTGTGTATATATAAATATATATATACATATTAGTATATAATGAGATGATATTGTTTATAATTATAAAACTGGCAGCCACAACTTTAAATCCACTAAAAGGTGAAGTGAGACTTAACATTCATGTGGATGTTATTACATGTAACACTCACTTTAAGCCCCTATCATGCAGGCCAAGAGGCCAGTTAGTGACCCAAAGGTCGCTAGGGAAAAATGTGCATTCCCAGTCTGGTTAGTGAGTGGTTGCTGGGTGAAGTTGGTTGCAAAGAGATATCACCTGCAGATTGCCACGATCACCCAAAGGGCCAGAGGTGATGCTGACTTGTCTTCAAACACTTGCCAGCTGCTTGTTGAGCAGAATGGAAATGGAGTAAAAGTTGCACCTATTGAAACATAATAGTTTTGTAGTAAAACACGAGTTTTGTTTTGGAGGTGAGTGCACTCCATTTTTGGTTTGCGTTGCAAGTTTCACTACTGCTCCATGGTTAGATAGCGAATGGTTGCAGGCAAATTAGTGTCTTGTGTACAAGCAATGGGCGAAAGCAGAAATCTGAGCGTTGACAAGGAGGGTTTTGTGCAGCACATTAATTGTAGGTTATTTCACCTAGCGACAGTCTGCACAAGCAGTCGGGGATGACTGGGACTCAGCGGCCAGTCCCTCGGTCATTACCATTGCTGAAGCCCAAGCTCAACCACTTGTGGTCAGTCTTCTTCCCAAGGTGTCACATCGGCCTCGAAACCCTTTAGGTTTCAGTTGATCTTTGGAACGTGGCAGAGGCCTCGCTACGTAGAGGGTATCTGACAGGTCAAAGGGGAGGTACCTGTGCACCTGATTGGTGTAAGTACATACACTACGCTAGGGGTATATTTAAAGAGAAGGTTATGGGGTCATTGTTTATTAACTTTCCAGCAGGGCATTTAATAAAATTAGTTACCAACGTACCATGAAGACTTGACAAGTCTCCACACTACACTGTGCTCATCTGTAATGCTGCTCTGTTACGTGTGCTGCAGATTATTGTAAAAATGGAGTGAGACTATAAATGATCCCTGTTTAGTATCAGAAAGCATTATATCCCAATGCTATTATATCTGGAGATAGGCCAATTAACTTATGCTACTACTACTAATAAGATGCACCTTGATGGACCTCCAGTATTTTCCAGATTTTTAATGCAGGACAACAAAGGCATAGGGAGTTTTCTTTTCTGCAGTTGTAAAGATGGCACATGTTTACTTTTCCAAACTTGTGTTTAACCAGAAGTACACACAAATTATTGCTCATGTAAAATATTTGTTGGAGAAAAAAATGTGCCAAACATTTGTCCCTATCTTATTGTAATATATGTGTGTAAGTATGTGTCTTAAAATTTGCTGAGGACATGTGTGTATCCTGTCACATGACGGAAAATGATCAAAACCTGACTGCATTCATACCCTGTTAAAATGCACAGAGAAATTGATATTTTATACAGAAGTCATGTATTTGTGATGGTTTAATTCATCCTTTTTGTTGTTCTACTGGTGTCTGTCTGATTGCAGATTGAATCAAAAGCCAGTGTGTTTATAATTTCTTTTATCCAACCTGTAAAAATGATCTGAAATGTGCTGCCGTTATATTTCACATCAAGATGTGAAAAAGAAGTTTAACCTCCAGCTTTAAAGGCCTGCAACCTTTGATCATTCTGTCTTATATCACGAGTCTATTGTGCCAGACAGCTTTCACTCTAGTGTGTACAGAATCGGGTGTTGTGTAGTTTCACAGTTGGGTGACGATCCTGAAGACACAGTTGAAGTCTTTGACTGTGATGATGATGGAAGCTGGTGAATATTAGTAATTTTAGTATCAGTGTGACTGTCAGAGAAAAATAAGTAAACCTCATGATAGTCAGGAACTGCCGCTTCGTCCTGCTTCTGCTTAAGTTTTCAACTTACACGCACACATGGTGTAACGTGAATGTAGAGATGCGTAATCTCTCTAATTTCTCTATTTTATTTTATTTTTTTTACAGAATGAATGATTTCTTTTTTCTTTTTTGTTTACCTCATTTATGTTTTGAAATTTCTCAGGTTGGGATTCAGAAGCCTTTGATTTTTAACAACAAAAGTTTTATGAATTGATAATAGGAAATATGGAAATTTCTACTTGGCCTTTCCTATGCTGTGATGATTAGCATTTCCACAATAAAGAAACTGGCAAACCAAACTGGCCAATACTGCCTCACTTACTGTCCAATGTTTTAATTATATATCTGAATTGTAACAACAGTTTCCCCTAAAATCTTTTCTCAGGTTTCACTGTATCCAGCACGTTATCTAGCAAGCCTCATACATTTTGGTTTAGAGGGACTATGCTTAATTTAGGACTTAATTTATTTCAAGTTAACGACCAAATAATATTACAGAAAAATGCCCAACAATCAAATGACCCCTTCCAACCCCCTTAAAGAACCATGTGGTGACAGTAGAAAGGAAAAACTTGCTTTTAACAGGAAGAAACCTCTGGCAGACACAGGATCTTGGAGGGGCAACAATCTGCTGAAGCCGGCTGTGAGGGGAAAGAGAAAAGAAAAGAGGCATTCGCAGAGATGAGGAGAAAACAAACTATCTCAGAGAAAAGATAAAATCACATGGTGGCAAAAAAAATGCTCATTGCATCATAGGAAGTTCCTCGGCAGCCTGAGCTTATAAGATAAGATAACTCTTTATTGTCATTGCACAGTCATACATAGTACAGTAGTACAATGAAATTGGAAAACTGTCCTACGTCGGCACTACATATAACACGACACGATATGACACATCACAACGCAACACAAACAACACAACACAACACAGTATAATAACTTAGTAATAAAAAAAGAAGAATAAGTGTATTTGTATTGCACACTGTTATTATTGCACATTAATTATTATTGCACCTTGTTATAAATATAGATATTATTATTGTTATTGCATATCTTATCTTATTATCTTATCTTATTATATTATCTTAAATTATAATGGCAGCATATCTAAGAGATGGTTATGATGGGGTCTAGTTATTCATGACTCGTGTGTGCAAGAAGAAATATTTTAGTTTAAATTCTAGAACTAACAAAGTGTCAGTGAAGAGATGCCAATACGGGAGAAAGACGGTCTGTGTTCTAGTCCCTTTTGCTACTCCCACTTCAGTGTTTGGGATCAACTGGCTTTCCAGAGATCTTTCAGAGCAACCTGACAATAATGATTTACAATGGGCCAGTCTAAGCATAACACATGCATGAACTAGTTTGTCAGCATGTCAGACATACTTCAAAAATGACTACCAGGTTCCTCAAAGTGTTGCTGGAGGCTAACTTAACCCTCTGCTGCATAGCGTTGCCCTGAGGCAACAAACCACATTTTCATGCCTTACACTGGCCCCTCAACCCCCCTTTTTTTTTTTTCAAATAATGCTACCAGGCACATCTCTTTCCAATAAAATGATGAGTTGAAGGTGGTGTGACTTTCATTTCTGCAAGTTGCACTACATGAGAGACATCTCCATTAGGAGGCAAGATAAAGATCACTATTTTACATGTTTATAGTGAAATAAATGTATATTAAAAAATACTTGTATGTGCATGAATATGTTAAGAACCATATTAGATTTTTTGTTCTACTTTTTAAAATTTATTTATACAGTAAAACTGTTTTTTCTTTCGTTGCCTCAAGGCAACACTGCGCAGTTAGCCCAGTTTTTTTCAGGCAATATAATGCATTTGTATATGTGTGTAGAGATGTGTTTGTGTGCATTTATATGATCATAGTCAATGTTTTTTACTTTACAATCTGCTCATAATTACAGGACATGGATGTAAATACCTTTTATGGAAGGAAACCAAGGGAATGTGCACTTTTTGCCCTCAGAAAGTGAGGACAGTGAGCTTTCAGGGAGTGACAGTGAAGTAGAGGAGTGGATCCCTGAATGAGGTTTGAAGGACACTTAGGAGCTCAGGGGTCAGGGGTCAGTTGGTAAAGTAACTGTGTCTGTGTGTGTGTGTGTTAGTGCCCACATAGCAAGCAGGTCTGGCCAGGATCTGGTATCAAGTCGGCACTGCTGGCTGACTTCTGGCATGATAAGACGTATGTCATCCAGATATGGGCCAGTCTATGTGATGGCATGCCATATCTGGCTTGATTGTGGCTTGGTTTATGTGGCCCAGGCCTACAGAAAACAGGTCTGGCCCAGATCTGGCATCAAGCTGGCATTTCTGACTGACTGGTGTTTTGGTAGTGTTGTCAACCAGATGTGTGCCAGGTCTGGCAATGACGCCACCGTTTATGCGATGGCATGTCATATCTCAGGTGGTGGAGCAGGTTACAAACTGATCAGAAGGTTAGTGGGTCGATCCCTGGCTCCTCCAGTCTGCATGTCAAGAATGTGAATGTGTATGAATGTAGTTAGGAAGCACTCAGTTAAGCGAAAGTGGGTGAATATGGCATGTTGTATAGAGCACTTTGAGTAATCTGAGAGAGTAGAAAAGCGCTATATAAAAATCAGTCCATTCACTGTCTGAACAGAATTTCAGCATGTTACTTTTGCACTGTTTTGCATGTTCTGGCACATGTTGTTATTGCATGGCTTGATTAAGGTACACATTAGGCTGACATCTTGGGCCAGAGCTGAAACTGTTCTGGGCCAGCACAGGGCCAGCAGTGTGTCTACAACTGGCCCGTGGCTACACACCACCTACAGATGGCCCACATACCGCAATGAATGACGACCCTTTGGTGGCCCAGACTAGGTTTGCCAGAGTTAATCCAAACATGAGCCAGCACAGGACCACCAGTGTGTCTGAAACTGGCCTTGTGCTGGCCCATGTGTGGGCCACCTCTGGCAAACCAGGTTTGGGCCACCAAAGGGCCGTCATTCTTTGCGGTATGTGGGCCATGTGTAAGCACATTGTGTGGGCCTGATCTGGGCCATACCAATTTTGCTGTGTGTGTGTGTGTGTGTGTGTGTGTGGTCGTGTATTACTTATTGTTGTGGGGACACAAAATTGTTTACACACTCACATTGTGAGGTCTCGCCTACTTTATGGGGACAAATTGCAAGGTAAATCATTCAATTTTAGGGTGAAGGCTTGAGTCAGGGTTAGGGTAAGGTTCAGGCAGGGTCTTGTGATGGGTAGAGTCAGGGTAAGTCTCCAGGAAATGAATGGGGTTAGGGTCAAATGTTGGATGTATTTCGGTGTTTTATTGTTCTGTGAAATGTTTACATTGTCTATTTGTTCTTTATTTATTTGTTCATCCTTGTTGTACTAATACAACTTATTATAGAATTACTTGGCATTTTACTACCCTTATCACACAGTGTTGCCTTGAAGCAACAAATCAATATCTGTTTGGGGGGGGGGGCAGGGTGTCAAATTTTATGATTGATATATTATTAGGGACCCTAAAGCTCCCCCACAATAGGGAGAAATATTTTATTCCCCAAAAATTTAAAAATCATGCAGTAGAGGGATAATGTCATCCAGAGTACATAGCTGGCTAGACACCAGGTTTCTGAGGTTTTGTCACAATTAAGAAGTAGAAAATTGGAGGTCAGGAATGCCTATAGTATAACGAACCAAGTTGTCTAATCTGGTTTCATAAATAAATACAGCAAGGTACTATTTGCATAGCAAGGTACTATTTGCATAGCAATGGAAAAGCATGCAGTGTTTTCTAAAGATGTTACCTTGGGAAAACATGTATGAGGTAAAAGGTATTGGTCGCAGCACAGAGCCCTGTGGAACTCTATGTGAAGAAGAATCCCTGTTTACATGAACAAAGTGTGGTAATTGGTATTGAAGTACAGAGACAGATACACTGTCAGAAACTATAAGAATATTAGTGACCCACACTAGTGTTACTTTTGTGCTATGATGAACTCTTCAAATGGACTATTTTACTTTTTTTTTTTTTTTTTAAAAAAGTATTTATTCATGCTCAATCATCCAGGTAAGTAAATCCCAAAAGGTTGATTCTATTCATCTGGAAGTAGCGTTTTCAGTAGAAGAACAGAATCAACTTTTTGGGATTTTTAATAAGTTTCTGTATTAGTCTTATTTGAATTGTTCAAAGAAACCATGTAATTATTCCCATTGTATTAAAGTGTCCTTGTCTCTTTTTTATTTACTGTGTAAAAATGAACAGAATTCAGATTAGGTATCTTCTAGATATCTTCTATTCAGATAAAAATAGCAATTTCGTGGTTAAAACTGTGCAGTGTTGGTTTTATTTTGAAGACCGCAAGCGGAAATACGTCTGTCTGCCTCGATAGTCGGAAATATCATATGTACGAATAAAAAAAACTGTGTCACTTTCAAGGACACCATAAGCAGCCAGTTAATACATTCAAGTGTTAAAGAAAATGTTTCTACAGGGCTTGTTTTGTTCTCCTGTAAAGAACACATCGAGGAACTAGACATACAAACGTCAGCGTCAGAAACACTAAATGCTTCCGGCAAGAACCTTCAAAATTAAAGTTTTATAATTGACAGCTGTCGTAAATGATTTTGGCCTCCAGGGGGAGGTGTATGCTCACGGCTATCAGCGCTCATAAGCGAAATAGCAACAATATCAAAAGTTTAAGTAGACAACGGCATCCAAACGTTTCGTAAAAACTAAAGAAACGCTTCATAATATTCATACATTCACAGTACACATTTATATATAATTTAATGACAGTAATGATGTAACTTCGACTCAAAGATCCTGTAAAAATGTCAAAATAGCAGACCTCTAATAGACATATCCATGTGATTTTTTACTAAATTTTAACCAAACATTGCTTTACACTCATGTCGTTCTTATTCTTCTTGATTAAACTTTAAAATCCGGACTATGAAGCAGTCGCTCTGGGGAAAGTTGGTGTTTACGAGAAACCTTGAATGCGTCACTGTTCCACCCCTGTTGGGCTGGCACTAAGCTAACTCTACAGCAGCATACCGACACACATACACACAGATACACTGTACCCTTAAACCTTAATAGGCCAATTTAGCCTGTTCGTGACGCAGAAGTAAGAAATATTAAACACTGTCTGTATAGCTGTAACGTCATTTGCGAGTGCACCGTTAGCAGGCTAACGATAGTTGGCTGAAACTCGTGCTCCGGTAAGAATGACTCGCCTTCCATGTTTACTGCGATCTTGATTCAGCTAGCTAGATAGCTAATCAATCTTGAGAAAGAGTA